TCTCCTTCTTTCTTTCTTTCTTTCTTTCTTTCTTTCTGTCTCTCTCTCTCTCTCTCTCGCTCTGCGTGCGTGAGAAGTAGCAGAGCGTGTCAGGACACATCTGCCGCGCATGTATTGTCTACGGGTTCTGGGAGCAAGGCTTCTTTGAATGCTCGCTTTCATGTCAAGATCATCCTGTCAGGGAAGCTGTCCCTCGTCTGCACTGCCACGATCTTCATGGTCAGCCAGTCCATGCTCCAATATCTGGATAGTGCAGGCGTGGTGGGTAGCACCTAGAAATCCGGGGCCCCTGTGCATTGCGAAACATCGGGGCAACGACTTGAGTGGAGGGTTGCGAAAAGCGATGTCTCTGCTGAAAGCTTGAAAGCAGGCTCCTTCGAGGAGAGGGTCGCCACCTTTGTCTGCAGGCTGCTTGGATTGACCGATGCTTGGAGGGCTGTGAAACCCACGAGAGACGGAAGTCGCGGAGTGTGTTTCTCTATCTCTGATGCAGGCTGATCGTGTACTTGTTCTACATGGTCTCACTGATCTACTACCGGACCAAGCATGTCTACCAGGAGCCCTGGCCTGAGGGAAAAAGCCTCTGCATGTTTTTTCCTGGGGACAGGCGGTGAAACGTGGAGAATTCTTCGAGATCAGCGGTATCCGAGTGCCGAGGCTGGCATAGTCGGAGTGTCAATTCGAACACGGGAGCGCAAGAAAGTGGGCCAATTCGGCCGGCAGGGGCGGAAAACGGAAACTGCGACAGGTGGCAGACATCTCAACGGGGGCCCTCACGGGTGTAAGCCCGACAGGATGGCGATTCACCTTCCCAAAGCTTCGGACTGCAGGAACGGGGCCGAAGGAACCTTAGGCTGCAAGAATCATGGGGCTGGTCGCCAGAGCCGCAGGAACTTGCAGCGCTAGTGCAAGCTGCAGCAACCGCAAGGAACATAGGCAGGGCTTGTGGTCTGCCAGGGTACCCCAACTAGGCCTCGCTTGATACTAAATACTTCACGCCAGAGATTAAAGACGACGGGGGCGGTAGGAGGGTGGTAATACGAGGATGAAGAGAGCGGAGACCTGTCCGTGCTGAGAAGAGATTAGATGTCAGTTGGTTTTGCCCGCTAGTACCGAAGGTACAGTATGGTAAATGTCTGGTTGGCGACGCTGGCTTTTGTTTTGCGACACCGGCGGTGTTGCAGTCCCGCGGTCGTCCAGTATACATGTGACTTCACCGATGCAGCAGTGGTGGGTTCGTGCAGTATTCGGGTGAGTGAACGGATGTTTGTGGGCGCAGGCAGCTGATACTGTGAGTGGGTCGTCCAGTTTGCATGCCGAATGCATTTGTCGGAAGCTTGTTTGGTGACGCTGGCGGGTGTTCCAGAAGTGGGGTCGTACAGTGTTACTTATGATACTTATGAAGCCGGTACGGTGGAAGGTCGTTCATTAGCGCCGGAGGTTGCGGCGATCGCCAGGTCGTCCGGTGTACTCTTCTCTCTGGAACCGAAAGTGGATATCACTATCTACTTCGAACATTCCCTCTACCCCAAAGCACGGCCAGTGTGGACGACCCCACCAGACCTAATACCCGCCAAAGTCAATACAATAAGTTTCAATGTAAGCCGTATGCATTCTTTGTTGCCATGAAGTCGCAGCCACACTGGAGTCACTGGACGCCCACGAACGTGACACCAGGCTCGGTCACCAAGCAAAATTCGCTGTGCTGACATGTTCTAGACGACCCCACGTCCACAGCAATCGCCAGTGTCACTAACTTGGACTAACTACCTATAGTGGATAACCCCACGACCGCAACGCCTGCCGGTTCGCTTCAACAATGTCTTTTTACATCGCTCCCCTCCTACGGCGTGGTGACGCGGCAAACCATGTTTGACCAGTTACGTGGCCAGCTGTGTGTCTGCGCAGGAAATGGACGGAAGACTGGCAGGAGGCTGCAGGGGCCCCCGGAAGAGCTTTGCAAGACTCCGCCTCGAATGACTGGCAGACTGAGGTCAGCCTGGCGTTGACCTTGGCCCTGGTCGTGATGTTCTTTCTCGTAGCTGCCCCAACATCTGTGGCAGCTTCATTGCTCTTTGCTTGAATTCCAAACCCAGGAGCCCATTCTGTCGTGCTTGCAGCATACAGAGGGCCTTGGTATCTTCACGCAGCGCTGCCCACAGGCTTGGCAATCTCTGGGTCTCGCATCTTGGATCGCAGAATGCGACGAATCCTCTGGAGGCAAACGACACCCGAGAGCCGTATGAGATCCTCTCCATGATCGCCACTTGGCCTCAAAGCTGGGAGTCATTGGATCCACTCCGCGATGTGCAGATGCTCTGCGTGCAGGCCATCATGCTGATCTTCACGCTGGCTGCGGATACCGCAACGGTCTCCACCAGGTGCTTTTAGCTTGAGAAAGGGGAGCAGCGAAAGCCCTCTCTTTTCGTCCTTAGAGACGGGCTGTTGAGGCTCTCCTCTTGGCTTCTTGTAGCCGGCCACGTTCTGCCCGATCTTGTGGAGCACTGAGCGAATGGGGCGGCCTGAAGAGACATGCGGGGTCATGTCTCTTCAAGCTTAGGGTCTAGCGCTTCTCGCCTGCGGCTTCCTGGTGCTGTCCGGAGCTGAGGGCGGAATTCCGCCTTTTCAGGACGGCTCCCGAAACCAAGCAGCGCAGTCAGGACTTTTGGCAGCAGTGTGGCAGCATCCCTCGGCAACCCAGAGGCGACGGAAGCGCTAGCCATTCTTCCGGATCTTCAAGACTGTCAAGACCTATCAGGATTTTCAGGGCATCGCAAGCTGCCTCATGGCCTTCCTGGAGTTGGCGGTCGGCCCCTCGTGGCCTGGGGCGTGCCTTTGCCGCGGCTGGAATGCGCGTGAGATTGCGCAGCGAACTGAGATCAACATGTTTCCAGCTTCGCATCTGGAGCAGCTGGAGGATGGGGACAGCGCAGATAGGGCTTGGGGCAGTCTAGGACGAGGGAGACACACGGATTGGGTGTCCATCTCTCACGAAGCTAAGGAAGATAGTGTCAATAGCATTAGCACAGCATCACTGCATTTTCCTCGATCGTTTTGTGAGAAGGAGAGCTTCATTCTTCTTGCAGCAGCGAGCTGCTTTCGAGTCTTGGCCACTCGGGCGACAGCTGGCTGCCAGCGCTTTTTTTTGGGAAGAAGTCTTGCACCGAGTGGCATGTTCGGCAGTGAAGGTAGTCTTTCTGCTAATGAACGTCCTCATCGCGCAGCTCACCTGCCCACCGGCAGAACAATGAACATTCGGGCACATAGCGTTGCACAAGGTTACATGTGAGTTTAAGCGAAAAAAGGAGCATTCTAAAAGGTTGCTACAAGCAGCTCTCCGTGAGCATGGTGGGCCATGCACGCCTGCGTGTCCTGCTCAGCAACGCCGGCGTGTCACACCCCTTCCTTCCTTGAATGGAGTCAAGAACCAAGGTCGCATGCACAAGGTTTGCGAGGCGGGGGGAAATCCATAAATCGAGGGCAGTCATCGTTTTTCTTCTCGAGCCTGGACACAGGCCATGGAGGGAATCCCTTCCGCGACCTTCCAACGTTTCATCGAGCCTGTGGGCCCAGCTTGCGTTGCCAGAATCCGATGGGACAGCTGCAACGCTTCCACCGAGGAATTTGCGGTTGGATGATCCGGTGGAGTTCGGGGAGGGTGACGTTGGTCCGGCAGGGGGCATCCAGGCAGCGTGCCGTACAGCTTGGGCTGGGCTTCCGCAGTGCAAGGATGCGCGAGACTCGCACAGGTCCTCGAGCCTGGGAACCTCCATCCCACGAACGTCCGCGACCGAGTCTAGTCAGGGCGAGGGCCTGCCCCGAGACTGGGCACATGGGAGCTTTCGGAAGCTCCACCCAGGTGGACACGATCCGGCGAATGGGCGGGAATCCCAAAAATCCTTTTCCACCGGAAGACGAGGACCTCACAGAGGCAGATCTTGGGACACTGCGGCCGATGAAATGCACAGCAGACTCTTAAGACCAGTGCAGGCTGAAAGGTGCCAGCGCCTCTTTAAGATGTATCAGAAGGCTGTGAAGCCCGGGCCCCAGTGCTGTGGCTCTGGGCTTGGGGGCCGCGTGCGGGAATTCGGCCCGAGGAAGATCACGAGCCAGGGACACTCCAGCGATGATAAGCCCCCTGCGCCCAAGGCTTCGGAAGAATTTCCTGCAGCGCGGCTAGTTTCAAAGTGGCTGCCAGGCAGTAACGAGCCGAACGACCTTCGGAATGACGCCCGAGGAGGTAGCCGGCTGCACTGCAATACCGCTCCTTTCACAAACCCACTGCCAGGCGAAAGACGGCGGTGACTAAGTTTTTAAGGCATTGCAAAGCCTCTTCCAAGGGGCCCTTGGCGACTCAAAGGATAAGTCGCCTTGATGCCTGCGTCTGATGTGGTTTTGTGGCTGGCCTTCGTCTGCCATGCAGCGTTAATGACCTTTTCAAAGGACTATGTCGTAGCTCTTTTCAGGTAGCATGCCGCCAAGACCTGCAGCCGTGATGCGAATCTGTGACTAGTGCTATTGCATGGATGAAAGCTTTCCATGTTTTCCAAGCAGGTGCAACGGCCTGTGCAGACTCTTTCTTCACCTCGAGGTCTCTCGCGAATGCGATGTGTCTCGTTGGTGTTCCGGCTAGGCCGAATGGCCAGCACAAAAAGGGCCGTAACGTTGGGATGTGTTAGGAGGCTGCAGTAGGTTTCCAATTTTCAACAGATGTATCGGTTTAGCTTGATAGACCCCTGCCCTTCTCCCATGAGCTGCTTCCTGAGGAAGTGTCTGAAGTGACACGCAGGTCCATGCCGGCCAGACTTTTGGCAGCCAGATTTTCAAGCTTGTCAGGACTCAGAGGAGGAGGAGGAGCCTGAGCGCTGGAAGGCGGCAAGCCGAGCACTTTTGTTAATTAGGCAGCTGGCTCCCCGGAGTCTCTTCCCGAAGGCGGCGGGCAAAGCCACCCGAGCCCCGAGGAGAACTGTGGTGGTTGGCGCCCCCGTGGGGGTCCCACATCTCAAGTTGTTCGTCTCGTACTGCTGGGAAGAGCCGATGGACAGCATGAGCCCAGGCGCCTGTTGCCGCGAGCAAGCCGAAGAAGAGAAGCCACAAGCCCAGTGACCACTGCACCATAAACCGACCTAGTTGTTGTGCGATGTTGGGTTCACGTGGCTGGACAGGTCCCGTCCAACAGCTTCTCAAGGCCAAGCCAGAGACGCGAAAGAGATGGCCCGTGGCCTTGCGGGCTTTCGCGTCTTGAACTTGAGGTCATCCGTGCAAGCAAGACCTGCTTGATAGCGTGTGGTGCCCGGTGAGTAAGCTTCTGAACTGGCGGCGGCCGTGGCTGGCTTCTTCCGTGAGGCTGGAGATAGAGGAGACCGCGCAGGACCTCCGCATCCTGCGAGTTCCGAGCTCAACTCAACTCAGATCCGAGCAGGGTTACTGCCGAGTTCTTCCTGCCGGTTCTGAAGGCCATCCAAAGCATTCCGGAAGATGAGATCGAAATGTTCTTCAGGCCATGGGACATTCCTTTTGTTGTGTAACACACTTGTGTGTGTAGCCCCGAAGCATCGCCGGCTCGACCGATTTGATCTTTCTCTGCCTTCCCTTTGCCTCGCCTCGGAAAATGGCCTATCGTGCTACGCCGGGCGCCTTCACCGCCTTCGCCGCGGCGTCGGGCCTCGACCTGGTGGGGCCCCCTACCTCCTCGACGGCGCCTACAGCTACTTCCGTGGTGGAGACGCCCGATGTGGGCGTGGAAGGCATCGCCGCGCAGCCCTCGTCGGGTTTGCCGGTAGGAGAAAGTGCCGGGTCGCCGGCGGAAGCTGTCACTGAGGGCCGAGGGCGAGGACGACATCGCCCCGCCCGTGTTGGGCGTGCCGCCGTCTAGCGGCGATGAGGAAGAGCTCCTGGCTGACCGCGCCGGGGCCCCTCTTTTCCCCGACATCGACGTCGCCGACGGTGAGGCCCAGACGGAGCACATCGCGCCGATTCTCGCCTTTGACGGCACAGGCGGTGCCTTGCCCGTGGAGGCCACAGTCGTGTCGAGGAGCAGTGCCGGCGGGGGCGCCTTTTTGAAGGGCGCCTTCTGCCCCGCTCCCGGCGACTTTGTCGAAGCAGCCGCTGGCGTCGGAGCTGCGGGAGCGGCCTTCGCCCTGGCGACCTCATCCTGCTCCTGGAGAAAGACCTCCAACGCCGTGGGCTCCAGGTCGTCGTCCGGAATGGGCTTCGCCGCCTGCTCCGCCACAGTCGGTGATGTATGGTGCCCCCCCCAACGCCGTCGAAGACGGAGAGCAGGATGGTGTCTCGCCCGCGAGGGCGTTCGTCCAGACCTGCCCGAGGCCTTGGCAGGCTCCTGCCCCGTCGCCCCGGCGGACGAAGACGATGCGAGTGTAGGCGCCGCCTCCTTCTTGGCGGGCACCTGGCCAGAAGATGCCGCCGCGGCCCCGACGGGCTTCTGTTCGACCACTGTGCCATCGCCGTCGAACCTAGGAAGCTGCTTGGGTCCGGCGGGCGCCTTCTTCACCGGCGGCTTCGCCGAAGGGCCTCCCAGAAAGGAAATGGCCCGATCCGGGTACACCCGCGACGTCGCCGTTCAAACGGCCGGGGAGGTTTTCTTTTCGTCCTTTTTGTGGGCGACAACACACAGGTGGCGTTGGCGGCGGCTATCCGCGCTCTGTCGCCTGGTGTTCGGCGCTCCGGCCGGCAGAGGCCCAGCCTGCCAGCCGGAGCGCCCAGCCCTTGGTCGATGTGGCGTCGTCCGCTGGTGGTGGTGGTCCTTCGACGTCGGCTGCGCCTACGCTGGATTTGTCAAGACCTAACGCCCGCCTCGTCGGCTGTGGGCGTGGTCGACCCGGGGCCCTCGACGGCCACCGCCAGAATCTTCTGCAGAACGCCACGACCGCGACTTTGGGCGGCCGCGCCTGGCTGTCTCCTGGGAGGGTCGACCGGGCGTGCAAGGCCCTGGTGCAGCAGGCCATGCCGTGGGTGGAGCACCGCGGCGACCTCACACGCGACTTTTTCAAGGACGTCGCCGGGGTCGGCTGTTCGAGGAGTCCGTCGCCTTCATGGACGAGCTGCCGCCCTCAAGGCCCATCGCTTCGCCTTGGGCCAGGGGGCGGCTCAGGTGTCGTCTGATGCATTGGGCGTTTCGCCCTCTCCGTCTGCCCTTCCGACTTCGGTTGCGTGTCGCGCCCCCGCCTCTGGTGGCTCGACTGGTCCCCGGCGACATCAGACCCCAGTGATGGCTCGCCCCTAGAGTGGGCGAAGAAAGGACGATGGGACCGCCTCCGACTGGCCTCAGTAGATTCCTTCGACCTCGGCGGCTTGGAGTTCCACTCGTCGGGCCGTGCGCCACGACGCCGGCTCCCACCGACGATGGGCGGCCGGAGGGCGGTCGCCAGTTCGCACGGTGCACCACATACCCGCCGGGTACACGGCCAAGGCTGGGGCCCACACCAAGACGCGCCACCGGATGGTTGGCAACGTGGGGCGTCGCCTCCCGGCTCCTGGGCATCCTCGTCATGGCGACTTGGGCTAGCCGTGCCGCGGATGGGCACGATTCCTTACCTGTCGCAGATCCGGGTTCGGCGCGGATGGGACCTATCCCCTCCTCCCCGACCGACGGCCCTATTGGGAGCGGGCCTGGACGAAGAGCGCCGCTGGGCGGCGGCAGCCCACATGCAGCATTCGCTGGTGCCACGTTGCCCAAAGCAATGGCGCCGACGGGGCCTAGTGACGTGCACCTATGCTAACGGAATGTGAGCAATGGCCGATGTGGGATACTGCTGAGGTCAGATGGTTCTCTGACACGTGTTTGGTGCCTTACCTTCAGTTGGGTTGGAACGACAAACTGTGCCTCCCTGCATGTGATCGCCAAGC